GCAACTTAGAATGGCAAACAATCTGACGGCCCATCTGATGGAAAGTGGTAACTGTCGCCTATAGATATAGCAGTACCATGGATATAACAGAGTATATTGTTTCGCTTATGACACACCCATTCCTGAGGACTCAGATGTTATTCTTCTGTACCCTGTAAATTCACTGCCATATTCCACCTTTCAAACCGAAATACAACCATGCAAACACAACTGCTTTACGATTGAAACACGGATGGGACAGAGGTGCCCAAGCATACGACTTTTGTACAAAGTCTCCCTCTGGTGTTTAAAACATGTATTAACAACGCGAAAGTTTAAAGTTAACTATTGCAAACTGATACTAACTCAAAGCTAAACATACTATGCTAATATGGGAGGCTCATAATTCAAATAAAGTCGTTTTTAAACATTTGTTTCTTTAGGAAAATAGTCATTTATATTTATTGAACATTCCCTTCAATGCTATGAGTTTCGATTACAGCCTGTATATAAATAATAAAAAAAAAAACGCATAAAATAATTGTTATCTATTTGATAACATATCACGAATAATATGTGATAACTCACTGGAATAGTGTACTTGTGAAACAAAAACCAATTGTTTTGCTTATTCATAATCAATTTCTCAACACGAGTATTTCCAGTTACAGTTGAAGGGTCGCTAAGTGCGTTTGGCTAACCGTTGCACAAACAAACACACATAATAAAATCTTTACACGGTTACTTCAAAGGTTAAACAAACCACTTTCACTTAGTTTATTTTTGTGTTACAAACGAGTAACGTGTTCACATATTGTATATGTGTATATACATTACTAATTAGTTTATTTTTTTTCTTTAAAGGTTAACGATCTATTGTTTCGGAAAATGAGTGAAAGTGTATGAAAAGTGACAGTTGACACGAGAATGTCAAGTGATTTTCTGTGAACATAGTGTACCCGGCTTTAAAATTCCGGACTACGCGGCGACTGAGGGGCAAATGGGTATGTTTTTCTTTTATTTTTGTTTTTTTTTTTGATAATCAAAATCAAATCGACGATTAAAAAAATATAATTTTTTAGTAAATCGAAAAAGAAAATTTCAGAATATAGTTTTTATTCAATTATTTTTTCCAATTTTCCAATTATTGTGTTCAAAATGATTGCGCAATTTGCCAGTAGCAAGTGACGTCATGACAATAATTTTAATCGATAATGAATAAATAATAAATATTGATTTTTTAGCAAATTATAAAGCGATAATAGTAATTTAGTATGTGTTTCTTCTTTTGATTTAATTTTTTGTATATAATAATAATAATAACTTTATTGCTATCTATATATTTTTAATATTTTTTTGATATTATATGGTATTTCCATTTCTATTACGTAACTTAATAGTAGTAAAATTAAAATCACATTGATTATGAACAAGTAGTTAATTGTATAATATAAATATAATTAAAGATCGAGTCCCATAAAAAAAGAACTGACATCAATTGTGACAAAATCAGGTGTTGATCTAAAAACTAACTTATTGAATCGATATGAATAAAATTTCTATTAGACCAATCTGTAAGTATATCCTTTCAGATAAATAAAGAATTTTTCAAATCAGTTTAGATCTAACGAATTAATGAAGTAATAAACTCAAAAAAAAATACAATCGAATTGAGAACTACCTTATTTTTTAAGTCGGTTGAAAATAAATTTCGTTCTGTTCATTTTATCATCGAAATCTTTAAAAACTAATAAAAAACCATCTGTGTCAAGATGCAGTTGCATTAAAGAATAAAAAAAAAAATTGTATGGGTATTGTTCACATGATAAAGAACTGTATTAAAAATATGGGCCATTGTTAAAAATATCTTTTAATCCGCGACAATAGGACTTAATTTTCTTTGTGTTTGTTCTTTCTTCTCCATGGGCATTTACAACCGAATCGAGTTCTTAATTTCAAATAGCTACGATTTATTTTTGAATACTGTCTTGTATAATATACTGGTCACACAAAATATAGCATTTTGAACATTATGTATATTAACTTAAGGTTTATCTGTACTTATCTAATTCAGAAAGCCATTACAGTAGTTCATTGTATCAAGCGATCTGACCATACGTGAGTTGAATTTATATATTTTCGTTATGCAGCAAGGTGTTTTATAAGTGACACTTTGGGGCAACGAGATGAAATTAGGGGTCATAATTTTTATTAAAAGACAAATATACAAAATCTGGTTTGTAAATTGGTTTTTCTTATTGTATGTATTGAAGAATTTTACCTGAGTTAAAGTAAATATAAATAAAGTCACTGACACGATGATCTCCAGAGCGCAATGGCAAACACGTCATTAAAGCTTTGAAATAAATGTAAATGGGGGTATGGGTTTCGTTCTTGATTGGGCAAATTTAAGAATCGAAATTTGCTCGGGTCTGGATGTCCTGATGTTTCGCATTCGAGTATTCTGACACTTCCCTATGGTTGACTGGGAGAGAATGCTTTTAGCATTAAGTCCGCCATATACACATATTTGTACTAATGAATAAATAAATAAATAAAAATGTTTGTAGTCTGATCTCTCATATCATCAGGGTATCCTGGTTTGAGAAATAGGCAATTGGTGTGATTATGGGCTTACTTATTTATTATACGATAAAAAAATCTTTGACTACAGAACGTAATTAGCTGGTTAGAAATTAGTGTATAATTAAAATTTGTTCTATTTCCAACCGACTTTAAAAAGAAGGTTTGTTACCTCGTATTTTCGTCAGTTCTAAATCGATTTGGAAAATTCCTCTTATATCTGAAAGGATACACTTATTTAAAGATTGGTCCCATAAAAAAATATCAAAATCGGTTCAGTAATTTGGTTTTTAGATCAAAATAACTGGTTATGTCGCAATCGAAGTTGATTGTTTTGTGGAGCGCAATTTTTTTAGGTTCTGATTGTGCATCTTGGTGTTTTCGTATATCGATGCCATATGATTTGTTAATGAATCAATCAAGTTATGTGAGATAACATAATACTTGAATAGATTTTTTTTTTTAAATAATCATTATATCATTAAATATCAGTTCAAGGTCTACTAGAATCGAGCATCGAACCCACACCTGATGCGATCACATCAATCACTGTCCCAGTTAAAGCAATTACGTACAACAATTTATGTTATTACTTCTGTCTTTTTACACGAACGTGTTTAAACGAACGAGTTTTCACTTAGGTCTCAAGTATTTGTGATTATAATTATTTATTAAAAACTAGTGATCTGCCCCAGCTTCGCATGAATGCAAATTGTTTATTTAAATTTTTGGTGGAGAATATCTAAATTAAATTCGTGTCACAGTTACAGTCCTAACCATATTTATTTTATAAAAATTAACAGAAATATTAGAACTAAGACTGGGTAATATTTCAGTTACCATATTTATATACTTACTGGTCCAATCGAAATATCGAAATGATTTTTCCACCTTTTTTTACCATCCATGTCCAGAGGATTCCAAATTATAGATATCGAATCGGTATCAATATTACTCATGTCTAATTAGAACCACTTGTTTTTGCAAAAAATTTATCCTTAATATCCAATTCCCATGAACTGATGATAATTTTACGCAAAAGAAGTCACTTGAGTCATCTACTTTGACAATAAACATTTGCTTTGCCCATAGTCAACGATAATATAATGTAATTGTACATACAAACATTCCCTTTCATAAAATCTCCCAACAAAAGACCATAAAGGGTTATAAAACGTTATAATAACCAGGAAGTAGCAGGTACTACACTACTTCCGGTTCCGACGGACTCGAACCTAGTACTGTATGTAGGGTGTGACATTCTGTTTATATTGATTTACGATTTTTATTAAAGTGATGTACTATTACAATGATATTGTGTGTATATACTGACAAACCGAAATTCTGTAGTTTTATTTATTTATAGAATATTTTGGTACTGGCTCTTTTAACCACTTTTATTTTTTTTTATATACATAAAGAATCGTACAATAAAATTATATATATACATATTTCTCTCCGGAATAAATAGTTTTTTGTTTTGTAAAGTGTCAAAGTTACATAATTGCTATGATACATACATTTACATTGGCGTTTACTTTTTTATTAAAAAAAGAAATGTATAAATCTATTTAGAATTCAGATGAAAAATAAGAAATTTAGATCATTTGAGAAAGTCACTTAAAAAATTGATGTATCATAATTTTAAGCTTTTTTAAGCCTTTTGTTTAATCATATACATATAATGATAATATAAGGCATTATTTCTCCATTGCTGAACATAGGCCTCTCCCATAAGAGAGGTTTTCCAGTAATTGCCACGCTTGGTAGGCGAGTTGGCAACCGCATTTAGGCTTTGGTGATGTTTTAAGAGGGACGTTACTACCCATCTATCGACTAATAAGTTCCGTTAGTCACCATTTACGACACCTAAGAAAAAGGAAGGCAACGGTAACGGCAAAGCCTTTTGTTTGTATTCGTGAATTTCAGAAGTAGAAAAACTATCACTTCTAAATGCAATATCAAGACAAAACATACAACTAACCTTAAGTTAAACCTTCAGGAACACAACTGTGAAAACCGCATCTATTTTGATAATTAGTCGGAGCTAAAAACCAACAGACAAAAATTAAAAAAAAAAATTTTTGGTGTTTATTTTTATTTATTTTTTTTTATTAAAGAAAAACCAAAAGCTGGAAAATTGCATAATAAAAAAAAAACAGTAAATACAAAAACCCAATTACAGGTGTTCACAAATAAAAACAAGATATAAATAACTACCTAATGCACATGACATCGCTAATACTTAAAATCAACTAAATTAAATTATTACCCTCATTAACCTTTCCCATATTTTCAATAATTCAAATGTTATTTATTTATATCTCTTCTCATTATCTAGTTATAATTTTATTATATTAACAAGATTTATAATAATTTAATACGGCTGCGCGCATGCGTCTTATTCGATTTGTCTAATAGCGTTACGCTATCTGGAGGAAAAAGCTAAGATAGCTTCCAAAAAGTTGGGGGTGCTCAATAGGGTGAGACGGTATTTCACGCCAGAAAACCGCCTGAAACTGTATAAAGCTCAAGTGAGGCCACACATGGAATACTGTTCTCACCTGTGGGCAGGAGCGCCACAGTACCAACTCCTTCCGTTAGACCGCATTCAAAGTCGGGCAGCTCGAATTGTTGACGATCGGCGTCTTACTGTCCGGCTCGACCCACTGAAACTGCGTAGAGATGTTGCATCTCTGTGCATCTTCTACCGAATTTATCATGGGGAGTGCTCTGAAGAATTGTTCGGATTGATACCTGCTGCAGATTTTCACCATCGTACAACCCGCCATAAACTAAAATTTCATCCCAACCATCTGGACGAGTGGCGGTCCTCCACCGTGCGTTTTTCAAGGCACTTTCTTCCACGCACAACCACTCTTTGGAATCAACTTCCAGCAACAGTATTTCCGAACCGATACGACAACATAACCTTCAAGAAAAGAGCATATTCCTTTTTAAAAGGCCGGCAGCACACCTGCAATGCCGTAGGTGTTGTGGGTGACCATGGGCGGCGGTAGTCACTTACCATCAGGTGAGCCGCATGCTCGTTTGCCCCCTGTGTTGTAAAAAAAAAAAAAAACGCAGCTGATAAACCTCTGCCCTAAATTACTCTATGGGTATAATAAACCCTAAATCTAAACAATGGTTTCATAACTGTGTGTACTTGTTTGGAAAGTGTTTAGTGATGCACGTGCGTTAAGTGTACTCGTTGCCTCGTGTTTAGCACCTTTATCTAGGACATTGACAAGGTTACTAAATCCTTACAAATAATAAGTAACCATCGACTGACTTTAATAAGTACAGCAAGTGTAATTAAATGATCGTTTGTCTCGATATCAACGAGTGATGTGTAAACGTGAGGAGAATTTTAAAGAAAGTACACATTATGTTTTTTGAATGGAAGATAATGTAGTAAGAATACTATCTGTGCTATCGATATATGCTGATGGAGCAACGATGAAGGATGATAGATGAGATGATAGCAGGTCAATTGGCCCATTGTGACGAATTTATCAGGAAAAAACAGCATAGGGTTCGTCAAAAAGGGCGTATTAAGGTTTCTTAAGATTCGGCAACGCGTGCGTGACCTCCTTGGTATTACAGGCGTCCATAGGCTACGGTAACTTAGTCACACGATCGATTTAATATAATTATCAACCGACTTCAAACAAGGAAGAAGTTCTCAATTTCGTTGTATTTTTTTATATTTGTTACCTCAGAACTCTCATTTACGAACTGATTTGGAAAATTCTTTTTTATCTGAAAGAATATATTTTCAGATTGGTCTTATAGAAATTTTATCAAATTCGATTCACTAGTTTGGTTTTGAAATCAGAGTAACTAGTTTTGCCACGACAAAAGTCGGTGTTTTAAGATTTACTTAGTTAACACTTCTTGGATTTGTTCAGTTTTAGTACAATTTACTAACTACACCTCTTGCGTTGAACCCTGTGTAGGTCTAGATTTTTACAGATACGTCTAAAATTTTGTATAAGTTAAACGTTTCTTACAACACATAATAAAGTGAATCATGCTTTAAACAAGTTGACAAGAAACATAACTTGTAACTACCTTCCGGAATATGTTATCGCAGTCCATGAAAGCTTGCAACATCACAGGCATCACTTGCGTGTTGCTAAACCTTATGATATGAAGATCATGAGTCACCGTACCAATGTTATGGGGCAGGGTTTTAACACAGTTGGTGTTTTTGAAATGACTAGACTCGTAGAGTATCTGAATTGAACTGTATTTATTATTACAAATCGTCCATATATATAGTAGAGATATCTTAATTACTATTTACAATTACAATAGTCAAATACTTCCATCGAAAGAGTGACAACAAATACAGATAATAACTTACTAATGGAAATTTGTATGAGATAAACAAATATACAAATATGAATATTAAACAATATAATGATTTCGATATCAAATGGACAAATACAAATATACAAATAGGAATGTCAAATATTATAATGATTAGGTCGTAGGCTGACACATGGTCTTAGGTCACGTACTCTTAATATATGTAACACCTCCCCCTTAGAATAAAGATTGGGCTTGAGAGCTTGATCTTTGAACTCTCGGTGTTGAAGTTCTTGGATAATTTTCTTCATTTTCCTCTTCGTCTTCCGTTACGCAGGTACTTGTTGCTATAGTAGTCATCGGGACGGCAACTTGGATTCTCTGACGTCGTGATGTGTTTGAAAAACAGTTGTTAAATATTTGTATACAACTATTATCACGGCTTGGTCTTCGGTTACGCAGGAGTAATCCATTAGGACAACGTTTGCTAATTTTATAAATGAAGTATCCTAGCATTGTTATGAATAACACGAAGTATATCCATGTAAACGTTGACGAATATCTTTGTAAGATTGGTCGAGATCTCATATTTTCTAAGCTTTCCTTAAATTTATCGACATGATGTTTTATTTGTTTCAGTGAATCCAAAGGCATTTCATTAATTTTAATAGGAATTAAGTTTGGAGCTTCAAAGTTCTTGTATTCTTCAAAGCAATCGTCTGTTCTAATGTCTGGAACTATTACAGGATATGTTACATTTTCTTCAATAGATTGAAAGGCTGTTAGCGTACTATACCCAGTATAAAGTTTGCAGTTTTCCGGTAAGGATAAAATGCCTGCTCCTTGTAATTTATGATGTGTAACTTCCGTTTTACATTGAAGTATACAATTAGTGTCTTCTGTAAGTATGTAAAGCCATTGGTTGTTGTCAATGTTTTGAAAAGTGTTAATTCTTGCTTCAAATGTGGATGTGGTACAAATTTCAGGTAAAGTCTTTGAAATGCTTAACAGGATCTGGAGCTCACATAATGGACGTGATGCTGCTTCATATGCGACAAAAGAGGTGCAGATCTTCTTCTTTATAGCGTAGGACTTGCATGAAGTGAGGTCGCTCGTAGATACGTATATATTACCGCTAGGATTTGTAGCCAAATGCATGTGCTCAGGTAGGATGGTTGTATGCAGAGAGGAATTAAAATGTTGGATTGGAATGGAATATATGTGATAGAGATTGAGAGGTTCGCCTTGAATTAATGGAAAATCTAATATGTATACAAGCCTATCAGAATATACATAAGCAGAAAGAGAAGATAAGTTTAATATTTGATTTTACGAACAATATGCTTGCTAAACAATCATTAATTTCATTTTCTAGATTTATTACGGATTCTACTATCTGCAAAGAAATTACGGAAATGTCTACACTAGCCTAATCTAAAGATTTAAAATAAAGAACCTTTTAACTTGAATGTAAGTCATCGTTGAGACTGAATATTTTCATTAATTATTCGATCATCATAAGTTATCTTAAATATACTTTCATTGAAGTTTTTAGTTGTTGAAGAAATAATTAAGATTTGTTCGAGCATCAAGAAAGAAGATTCTATTACAAGTTTTTTTTCTAATTTATTAAGGTAATATCGAATTGAACAAACATAAGAACTATTATTTATAAATTTATGTTTTAATTATGTTTTATTTTTTATTAGAAATAAAGACGATTTTAGGACGATTCGTAAGCTAACGAATATAACAAAAATGATATTTTGTATAATGATTAAAATTGATTGATTATTGAAGAATTATTGATTTAATTGATTATTGAAGAATTATTGATTTAATTGATTATTGAAGAATTATTGCTTTAATTGATTATTGAAGAATTATTGATTTAATTGATTATTGAAGAATTATTGATTTAATTGATTATTGAAGAATTATTGATTTAATTGATTATAGAAGAATTATTGATTTAATTGATTATTGAAGAATTATTGATTTAATTGATTATTGAAGAATTATTGATTTAATTGATTATTGAAGAATTATTGATTAAATTGATTATAGAAGAATTATTGATTTAATTGATTATTGAAGAATTATTTATTAAATTGATTATAGAAGAATTATTGATTTAATTGATTATAGAAGAATTGTTGATTTAATTGATTATTGAAGAATTATTGATTTAATTGATTATAGAAGAATTATTGATTTCATTGCTTATAGAATAATTATTGATTTAATTGATTATTGAGGAATTATTGATTTAATTGATTTTGAATATTGCTTATAATGAATTAATACTATAAGTTGTTTGATGTGGAAACAACTTAACATGTTAGAGCTATTCTTTGTACAAGCCGGCGTCTATACGGCTCATTGTTTGTTAGTCGCCTTATACGACACGTCAAATCTGAACGTCAGTGCTATTCTTTGGTAAAGCCGACTACTACACGGCTGATTGTTTGTTAGTCGCCTTATACGACACGTCAAATCTGAACGTCAGTGTTATTCTTTGGTAAAGCCGACTACTACACGGCTACTTGTTTGTTAGTCGCCTTATACGACACGTCAAATCTGAACGTCAGTGCTATTCTTTGGTAAAGCCGACTACTACACGGCTAATTGTTTGTTAGTCGCCTTATACGACACGTCAAATCTGAACGTCAGTGTTATTCTTTGGTAAAGCCGACTACTACACGGCTACTTGTTTGTTAGTCGCCTTCTACGACACGTCAAATCTGAACGTTGGTGCTATTCTTTGGTAAAGCCGGCTTCCACACGGCTAATTATTTATTTAATTAACGAGTTTATTTATTTCATAAGGTCTTAATCTATTTGCGTGAACTAACTGATGTCTCCCGGATTTACGAATAACATAATTTTCATTAAAGCCTACACGTATCACATCGAATGGCCCTTCCCACTTATTATCTAAATTATTTGGGTTAGGGACCTTGATCATCACCTTGTCACCTACATTAAATTTAGCAATATTTTTAATTTTCCCGTCGTAACGTTCCTTGGCTTTTTCTTTCATTTTCTGAACGTTCTGTGTTGCGACATCGCGGGCTATTCTAAGTCGTTCGTTTAAATCTTTAATATAATCGAATGCAGTATAATCGGGTATTGTTTTTAATGAATAAAAAGGTCTTGGTTTAAAACCAAATAGAAGTTCGTAGGGTGTGAAACCTGTAGAGCTATTAACTGAGGTGTTATGACATATAATAGCCAGTGGAATAATTTGATCCCAATTTTTCAATTTACGTGCCTGGTACATTCGTATGTGATCTCGAAGTGTGGCATGAAACCTTTCTGATGCACCATTAGTTTGAGGGTGGTAAGCTGTATTAAAAGTTTGACTTGTACCGAGAAGTCTTATTAATTGCTTCATTAGTCCATTCATGAATTCAGTACCTTGGTCAGAATGGAAACGTCTAGGTACACCGAAATGTTGACAGAAGTGAAAGAGTTGTTTAGCAACTGTTAGAGCTTCTTTATCAGGAATTGGATAAGCTTGGACGTACCTAGTTAGTTCATCTTGTAGTGTCAATATGTATTTGTTATTATTGTCACTAATGTCAGAATATGATACTAAGTCTATAGAAACACGTTCAAAAGGTTCATTAGATTGGGATGTTAATACCATTGGAGCTTTAAAAGTTTTTCTTTGAATCTTATTGCGCTGACATATTTCACAAGAGTTTATGTAATTTTTGATATCTTCGGCCATATTTTTCCAGAAGTAATGTTCTCGAATTTTCCTAGTGGTTTCAATTATACCTCGATGTCCTGAGAGCGGTTCATCATGGTATGTTTTTAGAATGCTGGGAATTTCCTGAGGCGAAGGATGAGTAATTTTATTCTCGCAAATGATTATATTGCAATTATATATTTCTGCCAAATAAGCTGAGATATGTAGCTGTTGGTTGCCCTGAAGCTTGCAAGTTTGATCATATTTCAGGTTCGGTATATACAAAGTTTCAATATTATGCTTATGTAAGCACGATAACAATGATTTAAAATAACTCTCCGCGTCCCATGGATCATAGTATGATGTTCTAGTATAACAAAGGAAAATGTTTTGCTGATATTCAGAAGTTATTTTATCTATGTCGTAGACTTGCTTTTCTGTTTCAGGTTGATTGCTTTGGGAAGCACATAGATCTAAAGCTTCGTTGTATAAGTTATTAAGATCTGATTTTTGACACGACACAGGGATGAAGATATTTTTATGATTAGACTCTAAAAGATTTTCAGGTGAAGTTTTAAGCTTATGTGAATTAGCGCTACAACCTTGAGATAAGAATTGTTCATAGTTTGTTCTTAATAATGTTTCAAATTGTTTGTCAGGATTGTCTGTACCCATATTTAATATAGGTGGTCGTGATAAGGCATCGGCGTTTGTATTATTTTTTCCGGCTTTGTAATTAATTTCATATTCATATTCTTCTAGTTTCAGTCTCCAGCGAACGAGACGTGATCCCGGATCTTTAATGGAAAATAACCATGTGAGTGGTTTGTGATCAGTAAATATTTTAAATTTTCTACCGAATAAATATGGTCGAAAGTGTTTCACGGCCCATACTATTGCGAGAAGTTCGCGCTCTATGGTAGAGTAATTACTTTCAGCTTTATTTAACGTACGTGATGCGTAAGCAATAGGTAAATCTTTGCCAATTTCACCTTGCGAGAGAATCGCTCCGATAGCGTGGATTGAAGCATCCGTAGTTAATATAAACTCTTTAGTAAAATCGGGATATTGTAACAGAGGAGTCGTTGTGAGAATTTCCCTACAGGAGTCAAAAGCCTGCTGTTGTACACAACTCCATGTAAACGGAACATCCTTTCTTAATAAGCTTGTTAAAGGCTTAGTGAGCTTACTAAAGTTAGGTATGAACCTACGATAGTAGCCTGCGAGACCAAGAAATGATTTAATATCTTTACATGATTTAGGGACTGGAAACTCACGAACTGATTTTACTTTTTCGGGATTTGGCTTTACACCTTCACTCGATATAATATGACCCAGGTAAGCAACTTCTTTTCTCAAGAATTCGCATTTATCTGGTTGTATTTTCAGACCGTATTTTCGTAACCGATCGAATACTTCAGTTAATTTCTGTTTATGTTCTTGAAGGCTGGATGCAAACACTACGATATCATCAAGATAAACAAAGCATCGTTCTCCTTGTAATCCGTAAAGTACACTATCCATGGCACGTTGGAATGTAGCTGGTGCATTTTTGAGTCCGAAAGGCATTCTTAAAAATTCGTAATGACCAAAAGGAGTGCTGAAGGCAGTTTTGGGAATATCCTTGGGCTCTAATTCAATTTGATGGAAACCGGATGCCAAATCTAAAGTTGTGAAATATATTGAATGTCCTAACTTATCTAGTATGTCAGTTATGTTAGGCAACGGGTAACTGTCTCCAATAGTGACGTCATTTAATTTTCTATAATCAATTACAACACGCCATTTTTGCTTTCCAGACGCGTCTAATTTTTTTGGAATTACCCAGATTGGACTGCTCCATGGAGAAGTACTATCTTTTATTATATTCTGTTGTAACATTTTGTCTATCTGATTTCTTACTTCTTGTTGGTGTACTTGAGGGAATCTATAAGTTTTAGTATTAATTGGTATATCTGACGTAGTAGGAATAGAATGTTTAGTGTGATTCGTGAACGTTAGTGGATCGCCTTCCACGTAGAAAATGTCTGAATATTTTGAAGTTATTTTATCGAGAGATTCACGTTCTTCTTTATTTAAATGATCACACCTTATAAGGCTCTCGATATCTATTCTTTGTTTTATAGAGATGTTGTTAATTTGTGAATTGGGTAAGGAAACAGACTGTTGAATTAGTTCCGATTCGTTAACAGAATTTACATCTATAATAGGCGTTGAAATATATACGTCATTATCACTCGAGTTTACACAAGTAATGAGAAAGCTATTATTTTTGACATTAACAAGAGCATTAGGAATACAGATATCGTTACTAATGTTTTGCTTATTTATCATTGCAGTTCCGTCTGATATATCATTAGTTAAACATGGTAACTGTCTCCGAACGACGTTTGATAATTTGTTTACCATTATCAAAGTACTTTGGTTCATCTCCCAGAAGGAACAACTGATAAGTCCTGTCATGTATTCGCATCGTTTTTGATTGAATATAAATGTTGACATTGAATTTTGACATGAAATCATTACCGAGTATACCATCAGCGTGTATGTTTAAATTTGCGACATGGAATTTAAATTTTGGAAATTGATCTAATGAAATGTGGGATGTGCCACATGTTTGAAAAGGCGAATTTTCATTAGAGATACCAATAATAGAAACGACGTTTGATGTATCGATGGTATTTTTACCGATTTTATTTTTATTTATAACTGAAATGGCTGCTCCCGTGTCTACTAATAACGTAACTGGTTGGCCATCAATATGAAATTTACAGTGCAAAAGATTTTCAGGAGGTATATTTAATGTAGAGATATTGTAAGATTCATTAGGATAAGCTCTTTTCTTTATTTGATTCGATTTTAGTTTTATTTTTGATTTTTGTTTCGATTTACGAGATTTTTTTGATTTTTTAGTCTTTGTAGTTTGTTGATTGCGCATGGGATTTGAATTAGATTCTTTTAATATAGGTTTTAGACATTGATCTTTTTCAGAATTAGTGGAATTAGTGATACAATCTACAGAGTTAATAGGTTTCTTTGATTGATTTAGTAAGGTTTCTGTGACCTTTATAAGAGATTCAGTGATCTTTGTGAGATTAATGATTAATGATTCAGAGAGCTCTAAGTTTGACTTAGTAGCTATCGTGGTTTTATTATCACAAGTACACACATCGCTTAATTGTCCCCGATGGACTGGAATTGTTTGCGCTTGTGTAGTGATGTTTGTATTAGATAATGTAGTATGACACTGATTACTATTGAATTTTACTGAATTTGAAGATCGTTTATTTGAGGTTCTAGGGCAATATCCTGACCCTCGGTGATCATTGAAATATTTGGGCAATACGTGGGAACCGTTTCCGAAACTGTGCCCGTCAGCTCGGCCGGTTGCAAGTTTAAATGATTTACTCGAGCTGGAGTCGGATTATTTCGCGGAAATTGGTTATTACGACTATTATTAAATATTCTCTTTCTACAATTAGTTATATGATGTCCGGGTTTTTTACAATAATTACATATAATAAATTTTCGCGGATTGGTATTAATAGTATGTTTATCTGGTGGTTTATGTATTTGAGGTTGATTGATCTGAGGTGGTTGACGAACGACATTGCTATATAGCGGTGTTGTTATTCGACTATTTTTAAACAAACTTTGCCTAGCCGTATTCATTTTTCGAATTTTTTCTTCTTGAATTGCAAAGTTTCCAGCATGAGTTAATGAATCAAAACCTTTTGTTCTTAACATTACACCTATGTCAGAACTTAATCCATTAATAAAAACGTTCAGAGCTGTTTCTTCCGTAGTAGTTTTCCGTCCTATTAATGTCGCATCTACCACTTCAGTTGTTAATTTTTCTAAGATTTTATTTCTACATAAATCTACGCGGTGGAAAAATTCCGTTACCGATTCATTTGGTTTCTGAAAGAGTGATTGTAGTTCGAGATTTAGATGTGAAAGAGTTTTTGTCTGCGAAAATTTTTGTATAAGGAACGTTTTTAAGTCGTCCCAGTTTGAGTATAGTTTCGCGTGGATATCAGAAGAAGTATTCCCACTTATTTTGTTTAAAGCGTAAATTAATAAAATTTCTTCCTGCTCTAGACTTGCTAATTTAAAAGCTGAATCGCACGATCTTATGAACTTATATACTTGACCCGATTGAGTTGTATCGAAATCCGGTATTAATTGTAATAAAGTATTTAGCGGAACATTTTGTTCGCAAAATTTAGGTTTTACGTCAATATTTTGTTGTGACATAATGAATGTTGAAATTAGAATAATTGAATTCGTAAAATTGATATAGTATAATAGAATATTAAAAATAGATAGAAAAATAGATTTTGAGTTTGAATAATAAAATTATTTTATGATTTAGGCGAAAAAGATTTATGAAAAGGAAACAGAGAAAGGAAACAGAGCAACATGTGTTGACCACTTACCCCAGTAACAGCAACAGGATACGCATTGCAGAGTATAGATTCGGCGAACTATTCAAAGCCCTTCAGGCACCGTCCTAGGATTGTTGGCGATGTTTGTCCGAGTCCCAGACGTTAAGTTCGACTTGCACTATTACGCGACGGATCCTACCGACTGCGCCAAAATTGTTATGGGGCAGGGTTTTAACACAGTTGGTGTTTTTGAAATGACTAGACTCGTAGAGTATCTGAATTGAACTGTATTTATTATTACAAATCGTCCATATATATAGTAGAGATATCTTAATTACTATTTACAATTACAATAGTCAAATACTTCCATCGAAAGAGTGACAACAAATACAGATAATAACTTACTAATGGAAATTTGTATGAGATAAACAAATATACAAATATGAATATTAAACAATATAATGATTTCGATATCAAATGGACAAATACAAATATACAAATAGGAATGTCAAATATTATAATGATTAGGTCGTAGGCTGACACATGGTCTTAGGTCACGTACTCTTAATATATGTAACACCAAGTAATTTCTGCAATATCCTGCTCTTCAAACTGGAATACAGCTATGCAAGCACTATATATAACTGCTTGGTAACAAATGCAAATAAGACACAGAAGAATCACCCACGCAGATAGCATTTCTAGGCACTTGTATAAAGCCGGTCATGATTTAGGTTTCTAAATGTTTGTGGACAAACGATGTTACTGTGAATATTTTCTTCCTTATTATGACATATCGGTATAGATATTATACGTGGAAGTGGTTCAAATTCTAGACATCAGAGGATGCCAATATCTAGTAGTTAAAGATTCTAGATTACACGGTTCACATGATAGAAATGCGTGATACAATTTTCAGACCAAGAGCGTAAAAATACGGAGAGATGATTGTGAAATCATTATAAATATTATAAATATGATATTTATAATAAAATAAACTTTATATCATAGACTTTAAGGTCTAAATTAGAATTCAAACTAATTGCATCTTATCAGAATTTGGGTGCGGATTTTATCTTGATGATAAGTCGTCTTTTAAAGTTGGGAATAGGACAATTATGTACCGTAGACTTATTTCAATACTATGGATGCAGCAAATAAGTAAACAAAAAAAAAAAACAATAGCAAACATTACAAAGATGCCGTTTTGAAATGGGCACATAATAGTTTCTTGCACTCTTGCACCATTCTTAACAAACAATGCAGTAAACCTCTTCAAAGTTGGAAACTTCTAAGGTTTTACAATCCACAATAATAATAACTGAAACCAACAATAGAAGACACTTTGTAACATCTAAGATAAGGGAAACCCCTTGAATGTAAAAAGTGATATAAAAACAGCAACGGTTAGATTGAGTTTTACGGAACGTTAAAGGTTTACTTCATTATTGAGATAAGAAACTACTTGTATGTCTTTTGATTATTTTTTTCTGTTTACTTCTTTGTTGTAACATTTTTTGTGTATTTCTACGAATTTTGGTGTTTACAATATTTATATTATTTGCCGTGGTGGGCTCTCTATAGAATTGTTAATATTTTTCAATTTATGTAATGTAACATTTATTCTGTTTGTAGCATTTTGACTTTTTAATTATTTATTTACTTACACTTTATTGCACCAAGTAAAAAGAGAAATAACAAATACAGTAAATATTAATGAGAAGTGATATAAAAGGCGGCTTTATCGCTAAGCAATCTCTTGTATGATAAGAGATTGTTTAGCGATAATTACTTGTATAATAAGATATTTCAAATTCATTCATGTGTATTGATAAATTTTTAAAATTGTATCAATCTTTTACATCTAAGTACATATTAGAATTATTTTAATTTATAAATACTTCTTACTTACATGATAAAACTCAAATCTAATTATTTTAAAGTTTGTATTACAATCGTCATGGAATTACATATTTTTTTACTTTTCTTTATTTCGATACTTTAGAGGCTATTTTACTTTCGTCTAACCACACACACACACTAAGCTATGATACATCTTATTATTATTTTGAAACTTACTATTTAGAATTATACATTAAATATACATTTTGAACATTATATTATATCAGACCATCTTTGGCATTACCAAAATTAGCCATAACTGTATTTGTGCCAGGAAAGGAGCATCACGAAGACCCGAGGCGGTCGTTGGCAGATCACGAAAACAAAGCATTGTTATTAAGAATATAGGCTGCATGACCTTACAAATCTACAACTACAGTTCCCAATATCGAAGGTTAAATCTCTCGTATTTGGTGGATGACCTGTTAATAATAATACTATCTTAATTTGTTTGCTGACCTCAAATGGTTTTCAAGTCTTCAAAAAGGGTGTGCTTTTCAATCCCTCTATATATTTTTTGATTTGTAATAATTGATACAATTTTGATAATTATTTTTTATATTATGTACTTGTGGTTTGCTTCCGTGTTGGTCCCGTATCGGTTGATTCACGATTGAAATAGTTATTGGTGTTAATGGATCTCTATAAAAAGCACATTTTGTACCTGTTTTTTTTATCAAATACTAGCTGTTGCCCACGGTTTCGCATGCATGGAAGTTCAATTTTTTTTTTAAATCCTGTTCCTACATTATTACGAGCATTCCTATTCTATGAACTAAACTTATGTTTAAAATCTCAACTTTCTTGACTTGGTAGTACCTATTTATTGCTTGTTCGTTAATCGTAATTAATCAGGATAAACGATTTTATAAGTATAAAATTACAATATTTAAATATATATTCTTCACATTATTATTAATTTATTTGAATTTAGAACAACAATTACACCATAATTTACATCTAATTTATCCATAAGTTATTAACGAAACTCAATTCGCATGCTCATTTATAGAATGTTACAGCACGCAATTTATTAATTACTTAAGAAGTTAATTTGTATGGTGCTACACATAAAATTTGTTATTATATCTTTTAGCTAAATATTTGATCCTTAGTAGGAACATTAAATTAAGTTTGTGTGAAGGTCGAAGAAGGTGAGACGTCGTCTGCGGTGTAATTCTACAGGCATATTGATTTTCACTCACATACCCCATTAGGCTTATATACGCACTGTGACCCATCTGGCTTCAAAAACGATATAGAAATTTCCGATCAAGATAGACACATAATAAGGTTAAAATATAGTAATTTAATTGACTTTCAGAGATTTAGGAGTTATTATCGTTAGGTGGATTGCTGAACAGTATTTTTTAATAGCATAGCCTCCTGTTATACACTTCCATCTGTCAAGTTTTTGTTCCTTCTGTCCTTTTAGCATATAATTTTTCTAATAATCTTTTATAGCATTCATCTCCTTTTTACTCCCTTTCTACCCATTTTATCTTTCACACAGTTCATCCATCTCTTTCTGGATCTTCCTGGCACTTATAGCCATCTACATATGTACGTAATTTCTTTCATACCACATTCTCTGCTTCTTTACTTATCATATTATATATTCAGCTGTTATGTTACTATACGTATGTCCAAAATTTTTTATTGTTTTTAAACTAATCTATCTTTTAAATTTTAAGAATAAATTTTGAGTTTCACTAGTAGAACACTCTATTATAAGACTGATAATAATTTTGATTGCACCCTGTATAATACAAAAGTGTGGAACGTAGAGCCCACTGCGAATACAGCTAATGCAAGGTCAGCAGGTGCCGCGGTGGAGTCAGTGCATCGACACCGTGATACATCTCCACTGTTGTTCACGATACGGCACGATATTTTATTCACAAAATATGCAATTACTTAAATACTTGACAATAAATAAATAAATATTATAATATTATAAATAGTACATACTATAAATTCATAGGTTTTGTTAATTCAAATCTAGTTTATTTTATTTCGAAAAGTGTAAAAAATATGATGCGTAATTTTATAGTTAATCGGGTTTGTTGTTCTAGTATGTCTATATCATTATTATCAATTAAATTTTAATATTTTGACAATAATGGAAGATGGATTCCATTTGATAAAATTATTAGGTAGTTTCGATCAAGTGAACTATCTACTACTAGCGAAGTTCGGTATTGGCAGGACTAATATGTATAAAGAAAAAAGTGGACCTAATCAATTACATTGACATTGGCAATTATTTTGACAAATTATATATATATATATATATATATATATATATATATATATATATTTGTATATAATTTGTCAATTTTCAATATAATTTATACCTAATTAGCGTTTTATAACTAAATTTTCGTTACTCTATTGTTGTCTTAAGTAATTTTTATATCAACATTTTTATTTAAAAAATAGTATTTGAATGAATTCACCTCTTTGACTTTAGTATTAAATCAACAAAATTTTGAATGTAATAAAAAACAACAAAATGACTACATTATCTTCTTTATACTGCTTTTATGACGTATCGTTTGTTATGGAAATACGATGTTGACCAGTCATCGAACTCCCATTGTCCACTCTTTATAGTCTAACTATAATTCATAATAATTTATGTATTATTTAGGTAAAAGAGATGTTTAAAACAAAGTATTAATCTCAACAATGTTAACGAATATGCATTTTATTTTGTTATAACAAGAAATATTATTACTAAGTTAATTTTAATTTAATCGAATTCAAGAACGAACCGATTGTCGATAGATCGTTTTTTTGTGAAACGAACGCGATTTTGTGTCGATTTTGATTATTCTTCTTTTTAATTGAATGCCAATTTTGTTAATATTGAAAAAGGTTTTCTTTTTGTCACAAATTTTTTTTTAAAGTTATTCTATTAGAGATAACGAATAGAATTTGCGTTTTAATTTACACAAGTAGGTTGATAAATATATAAATTAATTTATTCGCATAAATGAGTAGGTACATGGTAGATAACGAATTGTGCCTACTTACTGTTATGTAGGTCATCAAATGATCTAACTATACCGTGACGTTTGATCTAAACGTATTAATGCTAAAAACAATGTGACTAAATTGAAATTGGCCTTATTAATTACTTAGAAATTATAACAATAGCTAATTTCACAAGCACTGCACATCAAGGTCGGATGCCTATAAAAAATCTAGACCATTGAGTATGGCCGTTTTTTACCACATACGAGTTAAAAGGTGACTCAACCAGTGAAATACTCACGTTGTGAGTCACGGAATCACCGGTAGTTATTACGTAGATTAAATAGAATAATTATACACGTGGAATAATAACGAAGACGACATATTGTATTGTTAAACGTTAAGTTACTTTATTTGAATTTCTTAGGGTTTTTTTTTATAGTTTTATTACGTAGTTTAACGTAATGTCTATTTATATCTTCTACACGGTTATTTGTAATGGGTATATAAAGGCAAACCTCATAGTACCATTTATTCAAAATTGAACAACATTCCTTAAAGAGTGTAGTCAAAATTTCATTTTTGTTTTTAATTTTATTTTTATGCATATCGTTCGGTTAGATGATTGAAAGTAAAAAACGATTTAAAATATTTTCAGACTGGCCATCGGGTCATTGCGGGCGGGTCATGACGGGTTGTTCAGTTTCATGAATTTCAGCTTTGTATATCTATTACATCTAATTCCGTTTAAGTAGAATGTTTATAATTTTTTTATAAAACTTTTAATTGCAATCTTTGTTAGAAATAAAATTTAGTATATTTATTCTATTACTATTATGATCGCTAGCTTAGACATGAACAGCCCTATGGATACTTATTTTACAGTATATACTGTAATATCTAATGTTCCTGTCATACATTGTTTTTCCTGAGGATACAAATTGCATTTTGTTAAAGATTGTTATCTTTAACATGTTTGTCACTAACTCCGTTATTCACTCATGCTCTTACAATTAATTCATACTCATTATTATTTTAAGAATTATATATTTTTTTAATTTGGTACAATGATTTCATTGGTACCTAAACAAAATAATAAATACAAAGAGTACATTAATGAGTAATCAGTATTTTATTGAGGTAACTAAAAATTAAGTAAAATACTAGCTATAAGTTTTACAAAATGTACAATATATATATATATATATACTCGTATATAAAATGTAAACTGTAATGTATACATTACATTACATTTATTATTATATTCATGTATCAAATATTTCTACGCTGTGGGAATTGAA